CAAAAATTTTAAAATGTGTAAAAATGTTATATAATGAAACAAATAGGTACAAGATCCAAAATTATATCTATTTTATATTTTTATATTTTTTCAAACCATTATCCTTAGTCTATATACATTTTAATGATTCAAATATCACACCTTGAAAATTTGACTTTATACAAAATTTTCAAAACAAAAAACTGCATAATTAACACTATAAAAGGTTGTTTATCATTAGAAAAACAAATACATTGGACACATTAACAACGTCCTTGAATGGTCAAAAATACTAACCTATATGTTTAAAAATTAAAAAAAAAATGCATTATTAAAGGGAAAAACAGGGGTAAGTACTTAGCATGCTCGGTCAATCACTCTATAAATATATATATATATATTATTTATCAAGGCTTATATGGATGACTATGTGGTATAAATTATATCGGATAATTTAAGATTCGACGTTAAGATTTCAAAAGTAATAATTATCAAAATATACAAATAGTGATATAACTATTCGTAGCAAATCACCGATTTTTTTAAAAGGTTATAAACTTATAAAAATGAGACAATTATCTAGTTTACGCCATGATAACTAAATCGGTTAATCTGCATCCTTATAAATTATAATAAGGAATATTACCTATTCTAGACTCTAGTTATATGTTTACAGAGTAAACTTAATACAATAATATGTCCTAAATTTGCCTTATGGTTATAATATTATGAATATGCATAACTTTAGGTAATAACAAATTATTAACTGACTTGATCGACTTGTTAATGGTTAATGTATACCACCTTAGATATAATAATATGTTTTCATCATACTCATTTAATTGGTTTAATTTAAAGGGTTTGATCTAGTAATCTATGTGTGAAGTGTAAAATAAACTGATAGGATGGATATTTTATTACATGCATTTATTTCTACTTTAATGTTAATGACGAAAATAACTACTCTATAACTAATTTTTAAGCATACCTACTTTAATCCTCTCTAATTGGAGAACAATTTGTTATTACTTATTAATAATTTTTTTTTCGTTTAACTTGTTATTTGTTTTTTCCAAACGCTATCTTTAATATTTTACGTGATTCAAAATACCCAAGTATAGAAAATTTGAATTCAGATTAAATTTTAATGAATAATGAAACATCGTTGCGAATATGTGTAATTATAACATATAAAATAATCTATCTTATTGACTATTGTGATAACTTTTTATGTATAGTTTAAGTACTGGCATACTGCAACTGCATAATAATATAAACTATTATCAATTCGTATAGGTTCAGTAGATGATGTAATTTTGTCAAGCAGAAATATAATAATTATATTGTTCATATTCATGATTTTTATTCAGTTAGGTTACCTTTATCAAATTTTTAAACTACCTATAGGTAAAGCTTTTTTTATAGAACAATAAGTATAAAATTAATTTTGACAGATAACATAGTTGTAACAACTATTTATGTTTAAGAAACCTCATGAAAATTGTATTTACAATTAACTTCATAATATTTTATGGCTTCAATTTAATCATATATCATAGTCGGCCATTATCAAGAGAGTTTTATGTAAATACTTGCATTTAATCAGCTTTCATCTGTAAATAGATCAAATATAGAAATACTTTTAAAAATAAAATAGTGTTATTTGAAAAAGTTGTGTTTTCAACAAAAGTTTACAATATGATCAAGTGTCACATAATAAAGAAATCAGAAAACGCTCCAAAAAATTAAATTTCTGATTCACAATAATAAATTCGTTTTTACAATATATAAAAATAGACATGGCACATAAGTTCACTACGTAGAATCATAACCACAGTTTACATAAATTAATATTTCATGTACTTCTTTTATATCATTATATGATGCTTAAAATACGATTACATTAATTATTCAATATCATGGAGTCTATTTTTTATATGCATATTGTATACCAATAAAAATCTCATTTAAGTACCTACTTCTAATTTATTATAGCCTGTAGGGTATACTCAATTTTCTGTTTTTATATTGTTTATAGATCATTTTGTGTCTGAGTTTTCCTCACGAAAACGAAACAGTCGATTGTAATCATAGCAGGGTTTAGTACTTTAGTGTGTGTACGTATACTGTATAATATAATACATATTTTATGTATATAATATCCATCTAGTATCTGGTACGTCAGTGCACACGTATTATATTATTATATTATACACACTGCTGCAGAACAGACATAGAAATGCATGCACATAATGATATGCATTCCTCGTGGTTTTTGACCCGGTTCGCAGACGCTAGATTTTTACAATCATTTCCACGGACCAACAATGCGATAAAACACAATGAATAAAACGTGTAATGATAAAAAAAAGTACGAGGCGATGGGCGAAAGTAGCAATAATATAACGTGACGTCAAGGAACTAATAAACTGTTGTGGTTTAAAAATAAAAGTATATAGAAGAGGTAATGCCAAATGTTTCTATATCACTGAAAATCCCAGGGAAAAGGTTACATTTTATTAACTGTCAATCGTAATTTATTTGCTTATCAAACTCCAATTAAATATTGATGGTCGATGGACTACAAAAAGCAAACACAAGATTATCTCAACGTTGCATGTGCAACATGTAATCGATGTCACCAACGTATCAAGGTTGTATAAATATAAAAAAAAAGGTATATATTTATGTCTCTGTATATTGTAGGAATATGTGAGTTTTGAAATACATAGTGTATATAGTTCCATAAAAATATTTACCATCATGCATTATAACTTGTTAAGATGTCTCAAAGCGTTTACCGTGATGTATTTTATTCGCATCTATCTATTTTTCAAACTTGGGGAAACGTCCAACAACCTTGAAGGTAGCCAAAAAAAAAAAACACGCTGCAATTTTCTTCTTTGTTCATATAAACTATCAATATATCAACGACATAGATAGAATAAAAACATGTATATCAAATACCACGTATCCCGATGATCAAATGAAAAACCTCACGAGTATTGATGAAAATAGCAGAAAGGAACTTGGTGGCATTAGTGCCCAAGTAACAAATCCTCATAAAGTATAGGATATGTAGGACTATATTCATAATTTTGTCTGCAAATTATAAGTATAATCTTGATAATAATTATTAAAATGTAAAAAACAAAAAAAGCCGGTAAGTCGTGGAAGTCGCTCGCTGTACAGTAGGTTACAAGTGGGTTACTGTAAATTAAATTTAAATCTAATGATATTATATCATTGTATACGAAAAATGATTCTGAGCGAAGACGGTTTATCTGTTTAGGTCGTCTAGGATATACTATAGAAAATTAGAAATGCTCAAATCTTAGATTTAAAACGATAATTTTTATGAATTTCTAGCTTAAAATAATTTGCGAATTTTTGTGATTTTACGTAACTATGTTGTCAAAATTCAAACTTTGAATGCTTATAAAAAAAAAATTGTGACTTAATATTTTTTTATTTTTTAAGTGTTATTGTAAAAATATGTTAGGAACCTTGTATTAAATTTTCAAGCTTTTCTACTCAACAAATAAATTTTTATCGATATTTATAGAAAAAAAAACTAAAAAGTTAGAAAATTAAAATGCCAGTAAACAGCTGAAAACAAATCAAAATATTTTGAAAATTTTATCAAATATAGGAAATGCCTATATAAACATTCAGTGAAAATTTAAAGTATCTGCGATCATTTTTTTTAGAGTTACATCAAAAACCAAAATCGATTTTGTCGAAAACTGATTGTGCGTAAAAATTCAGCTTTTTTCTTTAATCTTTAGTTTGTTTAACCCGATTTTTTAGAACAATATTGAGAACATATTACTTTTGACTCCCCAAAGTACCAACTAGATTCACTTCCTAATCGAACGAGGTACTGAAGTCGAAAATCGAAGCATTTTTACTGCCCCAAAACGTGATGACAGACACAAAAAAAAACAAATCAAAAAAAAATAACACGTATTACATTTATTTTATAATACAGTCGAGTCTCGATAACTCGAATATCAAGGGAGATAAAAATTAATTTGATTTATGTATTTTTCTAGTTACATAACTCAATTTTTTTTAAAAATACGAAAAAATTCGAGTTAGGCATTATTATTTTTTATTTAATTTGCTTTTATAAGAAATATTATTATATGTATATTTATAAACTACAATTACAATTAAAAAAATATATTTTAAAACTCATTTCYTATATATGTATTTATTAATTAAAAATGTATTAAAAGATTACATTTTAAAACACAAAATATGCATAATTCTTACAATTTAAAAAAATAACTTGAAATAAGAGTTTGACGTTTGGGTCGTTTTAAAATAAAGTCTTCAATTTCTCCCAAGTACTTGAAAAGTATTTCATCTGCACCTTCGGTATTTTCAATTAGCACTCTTACTTTATCAAGTGACGCCTTCGCTTCTATTGTAGAGACAACTAGTGGATATTCATCCTCTTCATCTTCGTCTGACACAATGTTAGGAGTCGGCTATTTGATTCATAATCTAATGGATATGTTTTATTGTTTTAATACCTTTGAAACACCTAGGTTTTTCCAATTTTCCAATTAATAGTGGTTTAATTTTACCTGTGCCAGCCATATTTGATCCTAATGATCCTAAAAGAATTGTAACTTTTTTACTGTTTATTCCCCCCGCACAATTCTCTCCTTTAAAAAAAAAATGTTTGACTSGGTAAACATTTATAAAATAAACCTGTTTCATCAACATTCTAAACGTGAAACGTCATCAGGGGAATATTGATTTATAATTGGTAGGTATTTTACTAACCTGCAGTCAGAACATATTGATTGGTCAACTGAAGCGTTTTCACCACATATTTTACGAAAAACGATGTGATTCCTAATTTTCCAGTTGCTCAACCAACCTTGACTAGCTTAAAATTGTTTGTGGCCGAGTTTAGTCGCAAAAATTTCGGACTTCTCCTTTAAAATTGGTCCATTTATTGGAATGTTTAAATATCTACATTGAATAAACCAATTGAGTAAACTAACCTCTACATCGGGATACTCAAAAATCTTCATTATTTTCGTGGAGCCTTTATTAGTTTCGTACTTTTGTAAAATATCGTCTTTATTTTTCAGAATAGTTGAAAGTGTACTCGGTGGAATATTAAATTTCTTAGCAATTTCATTTTTCTTTATACCACTTTTTGTCACATCACTTATTATGTTCACTTTTTCAGCAATTATTAATGTAACCAATTTACGTTTTAGAGACATATAACTACAAATTGTACACGCCACACAACGATATACGACAACTGTCGATTATTTTACAGCACAACAGTACATAGAGATAGTTTCATTTGTACATTTATGATTGTAAACCGGTTATTCTAATGATAAAATGTAAGAAATGACTTCGAGTTATCTATACTCGGCTATTTTTATATTTGACTTATCGCGACAAATATTGTTGCATTGAGTGTATAGGAATTTTCTAGGGACAAAATAAAAATTCGATCTATCGAGTTATCGAGACTCGACTTTATTATTAGGTATATGTATTTTTCTATTTTTATATGAGTGATTATAAATTATTTAGTTTTCAAAAGTTTACCCAAGTTTTTTAAAATACTTACGACTCGGAGTTGCTATTACTGACACCTGTGACCTATTACATACAAATATACCCGTATCAGTTCAACTACATTGAACATTGAACATTCTTTAGATATGGTTCCAGCTAGTTGCTATTAAAGACGTGGTTACAAAAAATCTTTAATTATTATTAAACTAATTCGTTGTTTTAAGCTTAGAAACTAAACGTTCATGAAGTTTCTTTGATTAATTGAGTACAACTTTCATGATAGCGTAATTAGTAATGAATAATTAATACTAATTAATAAACTTAATGATATAATAAATTATTATACTGTAATAATTGTAATATGATGATATGGGAGTGTTTTACTTACTAACCTAACCTTATATTTTAATGTTTTACAATATTAATATTAAATTAATTTCAAAAGATTATGTTTTCATTTTCCAGTAATTTTTGACGACAACAACTAGTTACTTATTATATTATTGTATAATACATGATAATATACTACATTACTGCGTATATTGGCAATACACAGTAGTCATAGGTAATGTGATGTTTTATAGCTTATTTTTTTACCTTATTTAACATTTAAATATGTACATTCAATATATGTCAACAATTGTTAAAATTTGATACAGTAAATTAATATTTGCTTTTTGCTTTTTGAAATTCAATCATAATGTTATCAAATTTCAGTGATGTAAATTGTTTGCGTTCTATTTTTTACTTGTGCACTGATGTGTATTCTAACTACTATACTGCTAAAATGTATGACGGTATACACCATTTTTATAAATTATAATCATTATTATAGTATTATACATTGTTCATAATTCATAGATACTTGTTACATTTTTATAATTTTCATTTGAACATCGTTACAAACAATACACATATATTCTGTCTTTGTTAATTCATATTACACGTTTTAAATTCAATGTGTCTGTGGTAATACAATTTGATTTTGATTATTGGTTGACCGATATAAAAGCCAAATTAAAATGAGATGAGTCAATATAATTGGATTTATAATACTTATAAGCCACGAGTAGCATATTTTATCTACAGCTTACATGTTTGTTAAACTATTGGCTCTCGGTCATCGGAGACGCGAATTATAGTCATTTATCACTTACCTATAGGTTTAATGGAAACGATAGCTTGACCTATACTATGCGACCTGATAACACCACAATTCGATATTTTAATTAATAATTAGAATTATTAGCATTGTAGAAATGATGATTATTTGCTCGGAATAAAAGAGGTTATCGTAAATTTTGTAATTTGACTCCTATTAAAGCTCCAAATAAAAGAGGTTATCGTAAATCAGAATACGCAGGATAGAAGTATAAATATAATTAATAATTATTTTCCATCCATTTGTATAACTTTTTTTTTGCGAACGCGTATCATTCAATTTATCGTTAATATACATACTTATTGTCTGTGAAGCTTTAATAATTTTATATTCGCTGTGTTCAAAGTAAAAGTATGCTTTACTTTAGTTTGAGACCGTTCTACATCAAATAAATTATATTGTTATATACCTGCATGTTGGCTGTTATTGTACCGTTGTGTATCCGACTCTAATACTCTATAGTTGCAATGGCTGTACAAATATCGCTGTGAATTTTATGAGAAATAATTCTGGCTCACTCGGTGACACGCCATCTATATAATATATTATAATATGTCATCGCGTTCTCTGTACACTTAAAATATTTCATCGTTTTATTGACGTTCCAATAAATTTGTTAAATCTTAAACTATTGCCAAATACCCTTTACACTCACATATCACATATTTTATTTTAGGTATAACTGCAATCACGCTGTTCATAGTATTTGTCAATTGATGTCTAAAACTCTAAATATACAAGTATATAATTTCAAATTAAACTTTGTACTTCCAAATTAGATTGAACGTTACAATTACAACTACAACTACCTGTAATACTAATATAACTATTACATATGATAATGCGTACATTCGCAGTGTACCACTGTAGTAGGTAGTTACTAGTATTGGTATTTGATTATATTTAGATTTCATATACTTAAACCCATAAATTATTTCTATACACCGAGAACGCAATACCTCAAAATATACACAGCGACCGTGTATTATATAGTTTATAATAGAGAATATACTAGAGAATATACTAGAGAATTGACTATATTATAGAATGTGAGCTTATATTTTATTAATACACCAATACTCATCCGCTGTATAGTTTTTACTTTTTACAACACTACTGCTGAAATGTACGTTGATTCCATTTGTTGTTCGGACATGTGCTGCACGAGGCTTATCACCGAATGCTACAATGTGTATTTATTATACTGTTGTTATATTATTATGCGCGTATAGAAAACTTGTAGATCCATAATAATAATAATAATATAATAAAGTTTTTTTTTTCCGTTCGACAGCTGCCTGATATAAGTATATTATACATTTATGCGTTATATTCGACAGTTACCGCACGTGTATAATATAATAGGTACTCGGGTTTCAAACATTGGCTCAGTTCGCTATCGTCAAACACAATACGGTGCAAAATGCATTTATGTACCTATTAAGTTTTAAGTAATCGCGGTGTATGCAGATAATAACGACGGCATAAATGGCGCGCACGTGGAAAACACCAGGCGTCGAGATGTCGGGAAAAACGAGGCTAAACCGAGAATACGGTTAGGTTAAGGTTCGTACGCACAATCAGTTTTCGTCAAAATCGATTTTGGTTTTTGATGTAACTCTAAAAAAATTGATCGCAGATACTTTAAATGTTCACTGAATGTTTATATAGGCATTTTCTATACTTGATAACATTTTCAAAATTTTCAAAATATTTTGATTTGTTTTCAGCTGTTTACTGACATTTTAATTTTCTAACTTTTTAGTTTTTTTTTCTATAAATATCGATAAAAATGTATTTATTGGGTAGAAACGCTTGAAAAATTAATACAAGGCTTCTAACACATTGTAACAATAGCAGTTAAAAAATATTAAAAATATATTGGCCCGATTTTTTTTTATAAGCATTTAATGTTCAAATTTTGACTTAATACGTAAAAATTACGGCACTGTTCAAATCATCTTAGATAGAAATTCATAAAAGTTTTTYTTTTTAGATCTAAGATTTGAAAATTTAATACAAGGCTCCTAACATATTTTTACAATAGCAGTTGAAAAATAAAAGAAATGCGTAGTCACCATTTTTTTTTACAAGCATTTAAAGTTTGAATTTTGACAACATATATAAAAATCACTAAAATCACGAAAATTCGTAAAATTATTTTAAACTAGAAATTCATAAAAAATTTTCTTTTTAAATCTAAGATTTGAAATTTTTTAATAAGATATAATATATCCTAGACAGATTAACCATCTTCGCTCAGAATCGTTTTTCGTATACAATGATATAATATCATTGGATTCAAATTTAATTTGATCCATTACAGTAACCCACTTGTAACCTACTGTACAGCACAGCTACATCCACTTTCCCGTTTTTTTTTTTTTGGCTTTTTTTTTGTGGATTTTTTTCCATGGCTTTTTTTCCTACATTCCGAATATACATATTACAACACCTAATGCTAAAACATAAATAATCACATAGATAAATGATGACGATCCCTTTAATCGATCCTATTCTTGGCCCGGTGTCGCACGCATGCGCCGGCCTGGCATCCCGTTCTGCTGTTTTGACAGAAGTAGCTCAGACGTTTAGAGCAGCCCTTGCTTCGGCCTCAGCTAGCCTCTCATCTTGCTCTTTGCAGCTAAGAATGTCTTCGACCATTTCATAAAAAGCTTGCGTGACGCGTTGAGAGGCAGTGATGCATTATTCGCTCGCTCATGCTGATATATATTATTATCCTTAGTACACTAAGTTATACAACTCAAAAAATAATTGCTCAAATATTGACTAAGATGAATTAAAATTCTCAAAAAACATATTTGCTTACTGAAAAATTGGGTACGTTTTGAAAAACAGAAGTTTGTATTGTCATAAGATATGCTTGAGCTTTTTTTCAAGAATTCATAAATATGCTCTTCAAGTGTAAAATTCCGAAAAATCAGAATTTGAATAATATATCATGCATAATTCAAGCATAAAAATAGGATGAGCAAAGAGTATACTTAAAAATTCATCCCATATAATAGCTTATTGAAAAAAAACTCAATATCTTTGTGAGCTGTGATTTTGTACACTTTGTACAGAGCTATGTAATTTTAATTTTGATTTTTTAGTTATAGTTCCTACTTGGCACTTACTATTAGATTTGCATAATATACGAGTATATACATTTTGATGGTTTCTGGACTTTTTACTGTTGATTAGACATACCATGAACATTATTTTTTCTATATTTGTTCATTGAAACGACCTTAAGGTCTATGTCAATGCGTACCACAAGTTGGTAGTAAGGAGATCATGTGATCTATTTATCTATGTATATATCATTATATACATGATACTACCCGACTTCTTCAACAGGAGATATGTCACATGTGTGGTCTTCACTCCCAGTGGATTGGGGCCTATAGTTGGAAACCAGATGACGCAATCAGACGACAGCACAAAAAATTGGTGATCGTGTAAAACCACTAAAACCACGCAATGTTTTTGAACTTTTCTATGAGTCGAATCAATGACTGTGTG